CGTAATGAATTACAATACAACTGTTTCGAATAAATCCAAACATCAATAATGTAGTGATCTTTAGAAATTTTTTTTTAATATTATTATTGTATATATATAGTTTCGGATTCATAATAAGTATTTCTCTTTAAAAATGTGTGGTTTAAACGCAAGAGAGTAACTACCTTCTTTACATATGATTGGTTGGTTGCAGTGTCAGTACAGCAGATATTTGCTGCATTTAATTAGAGACATTAACTTGTTGTACTGTCACATTCCTTGCAAAATACCTATAACGATAAAAGTATAAATAACTTAATGTGGAATTTAGGTATTTTAACACATATTTCATAATTACAGACTGTTTCTTAGAACAGTACCCAGGGCCAAAATCTAGCAGAGCCATAAAATATTGTTATACCCCATACCATTAAAACAATCATATACCTGTTTTTTGTGGGATCATGACTTTGTCGGTTGAAAACAAGTGGCTCTGTGGCGTAGACCGAGCCAAACTAGAGTCTTGTAGATGCATTAAATAATAAAGATTATAAGCTATATAAGCATTTTTTATGGTACTGTTAAAAAAATATTGTTATGATATTATATCGTTATTTCAGAGCATATAAAATAATTTTACCAAACAAGTATTCAACCTGTCCAGATATTTTTAATATTAACATTTATATTTCTTCTTAAACAATTCTTATGATACACACAGTTTTTACTCTTGTAAAAGTACGTTTTGATATTTGGTAATATGGGCATTAATAATAAAATGGTTATTGAAAATTAGTCAGGAAGAGAAATCTCATCTTGTTCTACTAACATTAAAATTTTAATTCACTCTTGTGAATAGTGTTTATTGGCGATCGAGGAAGAGACACCAAGACACCTATTGTGTCACTATCTAAACTTATCCAAATAGAGTCATAAGCTAATGGATGATCCACTCTTCAATTCACTCAATAATGTATTCAACACTGAAATTGGCCTAACACTTGGAGTCATCAATACGTCCGGTTGATTTTATTACACTTAAACGTGTACCCTAAAATACTGAGAATTTGGAATCCAAACGGATTCCTAGCTAATTTCAAGTTTAGCTAATTAACGAAGACTCGATTTATATTCTACTTTAATTGTATAACTAAAGTGATTTCGACTTAAATGATCATTTAGTATAAATTATATATTTATAAGGAGTTTAAACCAAAATTTATTCATATCTTTTATATACCTACACAAAAAGAAGTATATTTTTAACATATTTTATTTGCTCTTAGTTCTCTCTATTTAATAGAGATTCGGCTATTTAAGTTCTTAATTACTTAATAAACATGGATGTATACATTAAAATTTTACCATTAAATTCTACATAAGATTATATATATGAAAATAATAAATGTCTGAATATCATCGTTTACTTCTGAAAAGTTATTAGAATTTCAGTATTATTTTTAAAGAAGGAAAAAATCTAATTTATTGATTTTGTTTAAAAATAATTGAATTATAAAAAAAATTAGGAGTATATAATTTAATATAAATATTTTTAATATTTTCAACGGAAGACGTATATGATGTTTTATATAAATTTAATGGTTTTGTTTAAAAATAATCAAATGAAAAAATGAGCATATAATTTAATATAAATATTTTTATTATTTTGTAGGAACCAGCGAAAGCATCAACATCTGACACACCTGCCAGCAAAACAAACAAAACTTCGATTTACTCATTAAAAAATAAGCCTGAAGGAAAAATAGGAAAATTAGTTCGATATAAATCGGGCAAAACGAAACTAGTCTTAGGTGATTCACATTTCGATGTAGAAATGGGCATTAATACAGGATTCCAACAAGTAAGACATTAATTTAATATATCTCCAATGAAAGCTCTCTTAAGCGGACACCGGCGAAATTACCAATTCTCTTCAGTTAATAGAAGTATCTGTTTACTTACTTTGCTGTTACTAGCAACTGTGTTCGAGATGTCTGCTAATAAAGACCTCAGTTTAACAGAGCTTTCACTGTATATCAAATATTATATGCTTATAATTAATTTATAATTTTTTCTTGTTCAGTATTTAATGTCCATTGAAACAAATCGAGAAGAACGTAGTGGTAATATGATTAATTTGGGTCCATTAATGGGTCAATTAACAGTTATACCAGATTGGGAATACTTTCTGAAAAAAGAAGAGGAACAGAATAGAAAAAGAAATGATGAAACATAGTATAGTATAATATAAATAATATAGTATAGTATAGTAATATATATTATAAATAATTGAAAAATTGAAAAGCAACAATATTAGAAAATAAGAAGAGTTTATTCATACATTACATATGAAATTGACTATTTATTGGCAAATGTTAAAGAAGAATTAAAATTGTTTTTACGTTAATATAACAAACATAAGTATACATTTTTTAAATTAATTTTTTATATGCTCTATATTATTAAATTTTATGTAACATATTTAAATAATTTCTTATATTATATAATTAATAACTTATATAATTCTATATATAAATTCAATGTTATATATTATATATATAATTAATTCTTTATATGATTTATATAATTAATTTTTTATATAAAGTTTTTCCAAAAGTGGCCAAATCTTTTAATTGATTTAACTTTCTTTTTTTTTAATTTTTGTTATTGAACTGTTAATAATTATTAAATGTAATAAATTTCATAAAATTTAAAATTTACTATGGTTGAACCATATTAATTTCATTTTATTTACTCACTGTTGCTTATATTTATGATAATGTTAAAGCCATAAATTCTATGATCTATCTATGATATGTATATTTTAATATAAAAAATTGAGTTTGTAATAAATATATAATTATATTACGATATATATATTAATTATATTTAATATATGTTGTGATATATTTGATTTATGTATATACGTAATGTGTACAAATAATTCAAAAATTTGTATACAAAAATCTTAAATTTCAAAATATTTATTATTAGCTAATTAATTAAGATATTTGAAATGTATATTCTTGATTTTAAATAATATTTTTGTACGAAATTTTTTTTCATTTTTATATTATCTCGTCATATACTTTAAAGTAGTGTTTTTCAACCCAAAACAATCTGCAGAACGGAAAAATATTTTTTTAAATATAGGCGCCATTATCTTCACACAAAATATTGTGGTAAGAGACAAAAATTACAATATATTACTACAGATTGGTATTGGTACACAAATAGTTAAAAACCCCTGTTTTATGAATACAAAATATAAAAAAAAATTTTATAGCGAAAATAATTTTTATTAAACTAGCAACACAAAAACTGTAGTGCTTAATAAAAGTGATTTTAATGATGATAATGTTTCTGCCATAGATTAACTCAAAAACTTAAGTGCAATTGTGAACCCTTCCTTTTTGGAGTAATCAAGTCATGACAAGTATTAGTCGCAAATTGATTTTTCATGGACTATAAATATAGTCCACTTCATTCAGAAATGTCAATGAACAATAACTACAATAATATAACTATAATAATAACATCTATTAATTTAAAAAGTAGTCAATTTCCTTCTCTGCACCTACACTTATTTAATTAATCACTTTCATAATATTGTATTCGATGATACAAAAAACAAATGAGCATTCAAATTAACATTCTGTTGTTGCAACCCGAAAGGACCCACTGTTTTTGTTTTTGTTGGGATGAGGCAAAGGGGACTTAGTCTAGCACTTATAAAGGCAGGTTAATACAAGATGTAGACCCAATCAGTACTGCATACAAAATTATATTCTCCATTGAATTATCGTTTAATATGGCAGTTATACAACTATATAGCTTTCAATTATTTTTTAATACTAATTAATTGAAGTCTTATTAATTACTGAAGATTTTTAAATCATGTTTGATTGTAAGTTACAAGCAATATTAGCAGAGACACACCATGTATTGAATCCAATTTATTTTCACATTTCTTAAAATACTTTATTATTGGCTTTAAATTTTCTAAAAGTACAGAGTCTCCAAACTATTATTAATTTGAATTCAATTTAAGCATTTTGTATTTTATTGTTTATAAAATAACCATCAATAATGTAAATATTTCTACTTGTAATTGTACAAATTAAGATCTTCCAAAAAGATCCTTATATATTTAGTGTGAATGGAGTTTTACTTGCAGGTTCGAAACTGATTAAGGTGTAAACTCTTAAATTTTTTTTTTCGATAAACTCTCGCTCACTTTATTCGGATCAACAGTAATAGCCCAACCAACCCAATAGGTCATCTTTGAGGAAATTATGTTCATTACAGAAAACGACCCTTTACCCTACTTTCGACCTTAGTTGTTGAACCTAGTAAAGTAACCGATCGTATAGGATTAGCTTCAAACCCAGATGCAGGTACTTAGCCAGATTTATAACATAATTATATGTATTCATCATATTAATATTATACCATTCGCAGTACCTATGTCCTAAATAGTTTATAGAAAGTTAAATCTTATAATATCAGTAAAATAATGTTATTAAACTTCTCATGTCCAGAAACTAAAAATTTTTTTTTGAAAACTAATAATCGATTAGAAGAGTTTGGCAGGATGTTTGCGTATAACAATTTGAGGTTCCGCTACCAATACAGAGTTTTGTATTTAAGTTTTGTTGTTAATAATAAAATCTCAATACTCTCTCATAAACATTTATAAACTTTATCATCATTATAAGCTATACGATTAAAGCTGAATGAATATTTGCTGCCTTGATGTTATTCGTTATATATTATTGTATAAATAAATTTTGTGGAATTCAAATTTAAAAATAGCTGAGATTATTATAAATAATTTATGCACAAAAGTAAAAATAATTTAAAATTTGTGATGTAACTGAAATTTTAAACAATAATTTTGTTTATCATAGAATGATCCTTTAAAGTTAATCCAGATATGTAAATGAATTAATTTGAGTTTTATAAATAAAGGCATTTATTAAAAGAATTCAACAACAATTTATATTGCCAAAATATATTTTATATTTAAAGAACAAATAATTGCAATTAATTTTTATTTTGATTTTTTTTATTGATTATTATTTTTAATTCACGGCTTCTAATTGTTCAAGTTTGCTGGTTGTCGCTGGCGTTCCACTACCGCCTGGTACTGTTGTACGTCCTCGATATATATTACTATTTAAATCAATAGAGAAATTGTAATCCACTGGATTTGCTAAGGCATGTTCGATAGCTTCATCGAGTTTTTCTAATGTTATAAATGTTTTAGCATTTTCCTGAAAAATAAATAAATAATATATATTATTTATAATATGTATAAATAATAAATTTGTAATAATCTATTGATGTTCAATAAATTATAATTATATATAACACACACATACACACTTGATAAGATATAATAACTGAAATAGTGACAAAAGGGATCTGAATCTGAAAAGAGTCAATAAAAGCAAAATTCATGTCAGACCGTTAGAATAGTAAGTGTGAGAGGTAATATTCTGTCATCACTCGTCAGGGTCGGCGAGTGGTTCCGGAACGTAAACCCAACCGTTCTTGGAATTTAAAGTTATAATCCAAAGGTTAAGTTGTGACCGCATAGTTTTTGGATACGTTGCAACTATGGATCCTTTAAGGCATGAGAATTTTAACAGTTTTCGGTAATAATTACGTGCAACAAAACTAGAAGGTACAATAAATATTTAATCATATAATCTTTGCATTTACTCGGATATTTATATACAGTGTAGAATAAACCACGAAGCACTTGCTAAAAACAAGATATATTACAGTTTTTAAAAGATGTAGTAAACATAAAATATTAAACAACTCAGATAATTGTAATTACCATAATGCTAATGTACACACATGTTAGGATATAATAGGTCAAAAAGTTTCTCATATAGAACGAATTTTTATTTAATACAACACAATTACTCATTAGTCCATATTTCTTCAAGCAAATATAAATGGTATGAAGTCCTTAAACTATGAGAAATGCACATGTAGACACAGATATAAATGCTTTAAGAATTGCAAGAAATGCCGGGTTCACGTCTTTAAACCGCTAATCGAGTTAGACGACCAAGTGCCATTCGCTACACCTATAAGGGACCACGCTAGCAGATTCCTGCGATGTTCTTACAACAACAACACATTTTTAAATACTTCATATTTTGATATAGATAGATAAAAACAGCATAAAACTTATTATAGATAATTCAATCAAATTTGAATTATATGTTTTATAAAGATATTATATAAACACAGATACAAGAAGTTGTAGTACATTCTCAAAAAGGAAACCGCTGAAATTATTTCAGAGAATACAGTTAAAGCCTTTAATAAATTTCAAATATCAAAACAACTTAAAAGGAGGTAAAAACAGAAAACAGATCAAATCAGTGACGCCTAAGATGGTTCCGCATATACAATAGGAACAAAACTGCACTATTTCTCCATACAACACTCTAATATGATAACCAATTCACTTACTTTTTCTTTTCGGACTATTTCTTCAGCGCGTTCTAAACGCTCTTCGTGCCGAATTTTAGCCAACTCAATGCGTTCCTTAATCAGATTAACTCTTTCAGCACGTTCCTTTTCTAAACGTTCGTTACGTTCCTCTGCTATTTTTTTATTCCATATTTCATTTTCTTCAAAACAACGCTGAAATTCCGCCTCTTCTTCTTCTGGTGTCAGGACGTAGTGATCAGCAGTTGAAGTTTCTTGTATTCGTTTTACTTCTTCTCGCAGATACAATCGGACAGAGCGTAATTGTGTTCTATTAAGCATAAATTTTTTATAATAAATACAAAATTTTTTTACTTTTAAAATTACTTATAAATATTATGTAATCGTTTTAATTCAGCTTTTTCTTCTGGCGGCTCAAATGGACGTTCAGGCACTTTAAACATTTTACTCTTGGCCACTGGCAACCAGCGGGGCTTTCTTCTCCAACGCACAAATTCCAAGGAAAGTGCAGAATTCGCACATTTAACATCACTGATTGTTAGACGTGTTAAGATATTTGAACCAGCGCGTAACATATTTATTTTAATTAATAATATTATTACTTAAGCTGAGACAAAAATTTTTTCAGTTGCCGCACGTTTGTATTAAAATTGTTACGGCATTCGATTTGTAAACCGAATCAGCTGTTAGAACGCATGGTTGCATTTCACTGTATTTTCTATGTTTGTCCGAGTGTGCACTTTCTGTAAAATAAAGATTTAAAATTTTGCCTTATGCGAGCTCGAGTAAATTGAGGTGCAGTAAATTGAAATTTCCTAGAATATTTTTTCACTGCATTTATGTAAATATTTATTTATTTATTTATTACAATTATTTATTATTTTTCAATTTTATTAATTGTTAAACATCTTATCAAATTTTCACGATGGTAACATCTAATTTACTTAATTTTTATTTAATTTACCCTACTCGAAATTCTGGTAAATAACAACATTCGCTACCATACCGACATTATTTACTAATTCCCTCAATTTACTTGAACTCGCACACAGTCGCAGTGATCCTGTATGCAAACAAATATTCAGAGAAAAGTGAAGAAGTGTGTTACAAGCAGCAAGTACATAATAGTTAAGTAAAAACAACTACATAAGTGAAACTGGCACTAATTGTAATAAAATGGATGAATTCATGGACCTAAACCTTAAAATGATTTCGAATTTACTTAAATTTTTGAATAGCGATAATAGCGACAGTGAGTCAATTTAAAATACTGTGAACGGTATTAATATTGAGGTGGAGAATATGCGTATGGGATTATTTAAACGAATTTTTTTTGGAATGAAGTGTTCATTTCTTTGGTGACCGCATATTTCACTTCTATTTTTCTTAATTAAAAATAATACATAATAAGTATTAATCACTTCGTCCAAAAACGTGTACCAATACAAATATAAAAATTAATATTTACTGTCAAAAGATTTTCTAACTTTAATATGTAATAGTGAATATAAAAACATATGTACGTTAAACAGTGTACTTCACTATATTTTACTTAAAAGCAGTTCTATTTGTAATTTGCTACTTTCAGAAGAAAAAAAGTTGATCATATTAATCTAATCAATTTTCCTATTTATTAACTTTAAAATTACGCGAACTTAGGACTTAGGTCGTGTGCGAGTTAGGCTAAGTTGCGTTCTAAATGAGGGAAATACTAAGTTGTGCCGATAATGTAGTGATGTGTCGATACGTGTTGATAAATGGCTAAATGTGTGCAGTGCAAAAAATCCCAAAAAATCTCCCATTTGGTTTAGCATCAACTTAGTCTAACTCGCACACGTTCTTAATTATTTCATATATGCTCAGATTATTTTACAAATTATTATAAAGGTAATAAAATCAAATTCTGGCGTAAATAGTCTGAAAAGAGTTTTTTTTTGTTAATAGCAATTATAAATTGGGTAAATATTTTAAAATTAGTTTTAAGGTTTGGATATAAGCTATCAACTGACAGGAAATTTTTAAGCTACTCCAAATTTCTGTGCGCAAAAAAAATTGTTTTTTAAATATGTTTTAAATTATATTTAAATCTCATGTAAATACATATTACAACAAAAATTATAAAAGTATTATAATTTATTTTTGTCAAAATTATAAAAATAATTCTATAAAATAAATTAAAATAAAAACCAAAAAATAAATATAAATCTTTTTATTTTTTCCATAGAAACCTACATTAACAAAAATCTTACCAATAAAGTGAAATTTCAAACTATTCAAAATTAGAAAAAAGCGTATTAAAAATATATAAAGTAGAAATAATATTAATTTTTTGCATTATAATATTATTACTTATATTATTTAAAATGTTATAATAAAATTAAGAATAAATTATTGACTACTTTCATACTTTTTATTTTAATAAAAAATTATTTTTTTATTAAATTTATTATTAAATTTCTACAGTTTGCATCCGTAAGTATACCCAGTTTTGTAAGGTGGTATTTTAACCTACAGTGCCTTGTTAGGATTCCTGTGTTGATTCTAAGTTTTTCTTTTGATAGGTCCATACAATCCTGGTATCGCTTATGTTATTGTTATAGGTATCAATAAGTGATTTGGATTGTTTTAATCCTGGTATATTATCCCAGTAATCCTTTTTATTCTGGTTCTCCTTTATTTTTATCAGAGAAAAGAGCGTGCTATTTCCTAGTCCACAAAAAGGTCCCGGTCCCAACATTTATATATATAATCAGGGAATTTTAAAACTATCATTTTTTTAATTGTAAATTTTAATTAATTTAATTTTAATTTTTAATTATTATTTCAATTTAATAAAACGTTTTTTATATTAATCTAATAATTCTTTATATTAAACAATATATTATTTTATATTTTTATATATAGAGTCAAAATTTCATAACTCAAACTTCTATAACTCGAATTTTCTATAACTCAAACTAAATAGAGTGCAAAAGGGTTCAGAGAGCAAATTACATACAATTACAAAAAAACTCTTTAACTCGAAGTCTCCATAACTTTTAAGTTACTATTTTATAGTTATATATTTTTGAAGGGACTAATTGGTCAATGTTAAATAACAAAAAACTTTTGAAATTAGTTTTAAAATATTTATATTTAAATATATTTATATATTGATTATATTAATTGATAACAATAATTTTTATCTTATATTTTACATAAATGTATTTTATATATATTTTATATTATTTCATGACAATATGTTTTATATTTGGATTTTATATATTTCATTGTTATATATCCATATTTATATATTTTAAATTGACATATCTTATGTTTATATATTTTTAATTCATATATTTCATATATATTTTATATTAATTCACAGCAATGATTTTCATTCGTATATTTTATGTTTATATATTTTATATTCATATATATCATATATATTATATTAACTCATGACATATATTTATATATATCATATATTATTATATTCATATATTTCATATAAATTTCACATTAATTGATAACAATAATTTTCATTCATATTTTTCATATTTATGTATTTTAATTAATATATTTTAAATTTATATATTTTACATTCAAACATTTCGTATATATATAAATTAATTCACAACAATAACTTTCTTTTATATATTTTATATATTTATATTTTAAATTTATATATTATAATTTTTTATATTTTATGTTCATATATTTTTAATTTATATATTTCATATATATTTTATATTAATTGCTATTAATAATTTTTGTTATATTTTATATTTATGACTTTTATATATACATTTTATATTAATTCACAAACCGGCAGACGGCAAAAATGCTATTGCTATAAGCTTTATATGTATAATATAATTGCTATAATTTTTTATGTAATGTAAAATATTTTAAATGAAGTAAAATAAAGCTAAAATACTACTACTACTATTAATTTACAACAATAATTTTCATTCAAATATTTTATATTTTTATATATTTTATATACATTTTGTATTAAATCGCAATAATAATGTTCATGCAAATATTTTAAATTTATATATTTTAAATTTATATACTTTACATTTACATATTTTGTACACATTGTATATTAATTTATGACAATAATTTTCATTCATATATTTTATATTCTTTATTTTGAATTTATATGTTATATGTTTATATTTTTAATTAATATATTTCACATATATTTTATATTAAGTTGTAATAATTATTTTTATTTATATTTTTTTTATTTATATATTTTAAAATTATATTTTATGTTCATATATTTTACATTTACATAATTCATATATATTTTATATTACTTCATGACAATAATTTTCATTCATATATTTTTTTATAAACTTATCACGAAAAAGCTTGTGATTAGTAAAGCTCAAAGTATGCTCCATTGTTTCGTGTTCATCACGTTTCGTTGGGGCATTTCTATTCTCACAACATTTTGGTTTGTTCAGTCATCGTTCAAATTTGTGCTCGTTAACGTCTTAGCGGGTTTGTGGTTATGCCAAAGCAATGTGTGTGTACGGTTTCATTTGAATAAATTGTCGCAGCGCGGTAGTGAGGCGTAACGAACAAATAGCGGTATTTCGTTTTTTATTTTTAATTTATAGAAAAGTTAACAATGAAATGTGTTGCTTTCATAAATGATTTAAGAATTTGCAAGAAAATAGCATGAATAACATAATAATGTAAATGTACTAATAAAAAAAAGAAAGGTAAATACAAGTTTGTAGTGCAGTGTGTAGTAATTTGAAGCAGAAAAGCGGTAAACGTGAAATGAAACTATGCTGAAGTTAATTTCTGATTGCGGCCATCTTAACGACTGCGTTAATAAAAATAACAGTTTAAATAATTGTTGAATAAAATCACAAGAATTTATTTATAAATAATTAAATAAAAATTATTTGCATAGTTGCATAAATACAATTGCATGCGAATTGTTATTGTTTTATTTTTTTTTTGATTTGTATATGCCGCTTAAGCACAACAATACTTTTTTAACCAAAAAAAAAAAGAAAAACAATTACAATTTATATAAACAAAAGCAAAAATACTGCCAACAAATTTGTTAAGAAATAAAAATATGAATAAGGCAACGTTCTAAATTTATCGGTTTATGTTGTTAATTTTTATTAGCTTGGCTTAGAAACATAATATAGTGTGTAGCAAATTGCTGCCCACCAGTGCGTCATATCTGCAAACGTGTATGTGCATATTTTTATACACATTTGCCAACATATGCATGTGTATTCCTGCACGTATGTACGTTTGTGCTTGCGTATTCCTAACTTGATTTAACCAGTAAACAGAATAAAGGTGTTGATCTTGCTTAAGGAATTTAAAATAAAAATTAAAAAAATATTTAAACAGTGAAGTAATCGTACTCACACTCATTTTATTATTTCTCCCTCTCTTTCGGCATTAAGCAAAATATTTAAGCCAAGCTTTTGCGTAAAGTTTTTGGCCCAGTGAAAAGTAATTATGTGAAACGAAGTGAGAATTGAAACGGCTATTGTTTTGTTTTTGTTTTTGCTTTTGCGTGATTATTAAAAGTTCTAAGAGCAAAAGAGCAACAGGTTAAATTAACTTGGCACAAAATAAACAAGAAAAGTATAAATAAATACGTTTTGTTTTTGCGAGCTAGAGAGCGGAACACGGACGGCTTTTAAACGAACCCACATTTAATGAATTAAACGGCAAAAGCAATTTTATTTATTCGCAAAGGCACAAACACAGAAGCAATAAGACAATTT